GCTTAACCTCACTACCTGTCTGAATATCAAACATCTTAGGCATAACATGGAACAGGTATTTTTCATCAAGTATTGATATGTTGAAATTTAAGTCCCTATAGAATATGATGAAAAAACATTTAAAAATTAGAATATATTTTTAAAAATAGGCATAAAGAATTATATAATTCTTATGTTTACACATGGATTTGGGTTTTATTAAAGATCAGACATGTATATGAATTCTTTCTGGTTTGATTGCCTACAGATTGATTATAAGAAATAAAAGCTTAATTTGTTCTTTATCCTATGGTTTTATTGTAATCCTATTTTATCATATTATTTAAAAGTATAAGTTAGTAAGACTAATTTGATTAGTTCCAGTGTATTCCTGCGATTAACACTGCTTCGTGGATAACAGAGACCTGTTCTAAAGTTGTTGTGTCCGGTGGCTCTCTGTCACCGAATGGGAGCTGATCTTCCCACTGTAGGTTTGTGTTTATATCATTTGCAGTATAATATAGTAATGCTAGGCCCTTGAGCCATTCATTTATATTAATACCTAAATATATGAGCTGCTACACCAAATTCTGAGGTGTTTTCACAATGTTGATGTTTTAGATCTTGTAATTTTAATGAGATTTGTTTTAATATTTTCTGTTTTATATACACAGGTAAAAAACTGGGTCAAAGAATTACGGAAAATGTTGGGAAATGAAATCTGTTTATGTATAGTTGGTAAGCATCATTAGTGTTTAAAAAAATGTTCTTTGTTATTAAAGTAGTAAACATTTTTATTTTAAAATGAGAAAAGATGAATTATGGTACCTTAATGTTTAGTATTTCAGATTAATTTAAGATTTGGAGGTAATTTTTCCAGGAAACTCAAATGCTGCTTCAGGAATCCTTGAGTAACAAATGAAAGCTGAATATGCAAGGCTTCAGCTTCCCCAGTCTTCAATTCCACCCTTGCTGCATAGTGTTTTCTTTATATGAGCTGGTACCATACTCTGTGTAACCTTTACTTACTGCTTTGTAGTGTGTGTGTGTGTGTGTGTGTGTGTGTGTGTGTGTGTGTGTGTTGTGCTAAGGATTCAGGCCTCACATGTGCAGGGCAATACTTATATATTGAACTGTGTCCTCAGTCTCTCATTTATTTAGTTGTTTGTTTATTTGGAACAGGATGTCACTGCACAGCTTAGACCTGTAGTGGCCCTCCTGGCTCAGCCTTCCCAGTGCTGGGATTACAGGCGTGTATCACCATGCCTGGTTTCGGTGGTTTTGCGGAACCAGGGATTGAACTCAGACCCTTGCGCTTGCCAGGGAAGCTCTTATTCCATTGAGCCATCTCCCCAACCCCTTCGTTATAGCCTTTTAAGGCTGTCCTTAAAAGCACAATGAGGGCCGGGGAGATGGCTCAGTGGAATAAGAGCTTCCCTGGCAAGTGCAAGGGTCTGAGTTCAATCCCCGGTTCTGCAAAAAAAAAAAAAAAAAAAAAAAAAAAAGTAAAAGCACAATGATCCTTCTGCCTGGCCTCTGCAGTGCTGGGATTATAGGCATGTACCACCATGCCCAGGTGTTTGTTTTTTGAGACAGCCTCACTCTGTTGTCCAGCCACCTCAGGGTTCTTCCTGCCTCAGCTTCCTAAGAACTACTTCTGCATAAGCGTGGGCATCATGGTGCTAGAAGCGTGCACCACCATACCCAGTCTGTTCAGAGAACTTTTTTTGAAAAATTAAATTTGTACAGAAAAAGCATACAAGTTTCAGTAATAACATAATTATCACACAGGGAAAATCTCAAGAAGTGTGAATAAGGGCTAGGGAGATGGCTTAGTAGAATAAGCGCTTCCCTGGCAAGTGCAAGGGCCTGAGTTCAATCCCCGGTTCTACAAAAAAAAAAAAAAGTGTGAACAGTGCCCTTGGGCCCCACTGTGGCCCTCTTGTGAATCTTTCTTATCTCCAGACATCACAGTTATCTTCCCTTCACACCCCTACACCTCCCAGCTACTCTCCTGACCTTGTATTGCGTGGTTTAGTTTCATTTTAAATTTTGTATTAATGAAATCATTTACTATGAACTCTTTTATGTCTGGCTGCTTTGGTTTTATGGTATGTTTACATTATGTTTACGACAGTCTCTGTAGTGAGTATTCCAGTTTAGCCACAGTGTTTCTGTTCTCTTCTAATGCTAAAATATTTATAGGATTGTGATGAGGATTATATAATGATGTGGGAAACACTTGGCAGAGACACCAGCATTTGACAAGCACTTCCTTCCCTTTCTGTAAGACGAGGCTTCCAGCATTTGAAGCCCACTTGAATGGTTCACATATGTCCTACATTTTTTTGGTTTTCCATCTCTGTGTTTGGTAGAGTCACACCATGCAGCTTGGACTCGTAGTGATCCTCCTGATTTTAGCCTCCTGAGCGCTAGGATTACAGGCCTACACCACCATGCCCAGACTCTATCAGACTCTATCCCCAGCTCAGCATGCCCCGGGGGTGGGGCCGGAGTGCCATGCGGGACCAGGGATTGAGCCCTGGTCCCTGCACTTGCCAAAGCAGGTGCATAGTCTGCTGAGCTATCTTGCTGGCCCTGTCTTACATTCTTTAGATCTTCAGTTACTTTTCATTTGGCTTTACCTTCCAGAGATTCTCCTCATCATGATTGTTTTTTTATAGGTTAATTCAAGTGTTTGTGTCTCCATTTGAAATAAACACTTAAGATCTACCTGTTGAGCCCATGTATACATATCCCCTCCTCCCCCAAGGTCTCACTGTGTTTAAATTGCTCAGGCCGACCCGAGCTCCTGGGCTGAAGTGATCCGAGTATGCAGCCGAGGCTGTGGGCGCACACCACCATATTCATGCCTCTCTTTTTTTTAATATATATTCACACTGTCAGTTTGGTGAGAATTACAGAAACTTTTTATCAGCCACATCAGCTTACTACTTTTTTAAATAAGAATGTGAAGTCTTTATAAATATTTTTCAGGGGCCAGGGAGATGGCTCAGTGGAATAAGCACTTCCCTGGCAAGTGCAGGGGCCTGAGTTCAGTCCCTGGTTCTGCCAAAAAGTATTTTTCAGTCAGATTTTTCTCATTTTCTTCTTATGTAATTATTTATTTTTCTTACATAATTATTTAAGCCTGTAGGAATTTCATACGTCTTACAACCTTAATGTTTGATTTGCAGTATATTTGCTTTTTTTTTTTAAAGACACATTTATTCAGCGTCATGCTGCAGACTATTACATTTAGCAATCAACAGCATGGGTGCAAAAAAAAGGTCTACATTAAAATCCTTTGTTGGAATGCTTTATACTTTCCACAGAACAGAAACTAAAATAACCTGTTATGCAATTACTCACAAATACAGTCCTCGAGTTTTTTGCCCATACGCATGAGTATTGTCTAAAACATGTCTTCTTTGTAGGAGCTAGGCCCTGCCACCACTGTGCTTGGCTGAGTTCACAAATCTGTTGTAACCCTGTCGCTTCTCTGGCTCTCCTCTCCTGCTAAACTTTGTTTCCTGGAAGTGTTTAAAACCTGCCACTGCCATAGCTACTGCTGCTGCTGGAGCCACCATAGCCACCTTGACTTCGTGGTTTGGTAAAATATTGGCCTCCACCACCATAGGGCCCACAGCTTCTGCCTCCAAAGTTTCCTCCCTTCATGGGCCCAAACTTTGAAGACTGACTGTTGTAATTGCCAGATTCATAATAGCTTCCACCACCTCCATAATTGCTTCCATCATTACCAAATCCATTGTAGCCATCTCCACTGCCACCATATCCACCCACACCACGGCTGCCACCAAAGCCACCTCGACCACTGAAGTTTCCTCCGTGACCGAAACTGTCATTGCCACCAAAACCTCCTCCACGACCACCACCAAAGTTTCCAGAACCACTTCGACCTCTTTGGCTAGATGAAGCACTAGCCATCTCCTGCTTGGACAGGGCTTTCCTCACTTCACAGTTGTGGCCGTTCACAGTGTGGTATTTTTGAATGACAATCTTATCCACAGAGTCATGGTCATCAAAGGTTACAAAAGCAAAGCCTCTCTTTTTTCCACTGCCTCGGTCAGTCATAATTTCAATCACTTCGATTTTTCCATATTGTTCAAAATAATCTCGTAGATGATGTTCTTCAGTATCTTTAATGCCACCAACAAAGATGATCTTCACCGTTAAGTGGGCACCTGGTCTTTGAGAATCTTCTCTTGAGACAGCTCTCTTTGGTTCCACACCTCTTCCATCCACTTTGTGTGGCCTTGCATTCATGGCTGCATCCACCTCCTCCACAGTGGCATAAGTGACAAACCCAAAACCCCTGGAACGCTTGTTGTTCGGGTCTCTTTACCACGCAGTCTGTGAGTGTTCCCCATTGCTCAAAATGGCTCCTCAGACTCTCATCAGTTGTTTCAAAGCTCAGCCCTCCGATGAAGAGCTTCCGTAGTCGTTCGGGCTCCTTGGGAGACTCTGACTTAGACATGACGGCATTCGGAAGAGAGCCTGATGATGCTTCTTCTGCAGTGTCCACCAGCAGAAAGCCTGTTTGCTTATTCATGTATAAATTCTGTAGGTCACTGATAACCATACCTTAAATCACTTACAGAGAAACCCATACTTTACTAGCAAAGTTCTTCTTGGTTGCTCCTAATCTACTGATTAATACTTCTTAGCTATGGTGATTTTATCCCCCAGTATCATGTATCTAGCCTCTCTTTAGCAATTACATGTTTCTTAACAATATGTATTTGTCATCAGTCACAGTTACTATTCATGTTCCAGATACTGTTCTGTGAACTACATGTTACTTCGTTTAAACCTCCTGAGTGCCATAGGAAAACTATTTCTACTTTATTTATTTAGTGTGTGTGTGTGTGTGTGTGTGTGTGTGTGTGTGCGTGCACGCTTAGTATAGGGTCTACAGGGTCTCAATACTTAGATCGGACTCATAGAGATCCTATTTTCAGCCACCCAAGTGTGCCACCACACTCGGTCTCAATTACAATCTCAGCGCACCCTGGAGGTGGGACTGGCACTGCACGCCGGGAATCAAACCTTGGTCCCTGTGTCTGCTTAAGCAGGCATTTTAGTCTGCTGAGCTATCTGGCCGTCCCTAAATATAGGGGGTTTTTGGTCATTATTGCCTAATACTCTTAGAGTTGACAATTTTTCTTCCATATTCTGAGGGAAAGAGCTGGGAATCAAACTCAGAACTCTGCTTATCCTAAGCAAGTTCTCTACCCTTGAACTTGTATCCTTACCCCCTTCTACATATTTTTTGATTTATTTGTTTATTTTTGTGGTACTGGTGATTGAATTCAGGACTTTGCATTTGCCAGGCAGACACTTATGCCACTGAGCTATCTCCCTGGCCCTTCCACATATTTGTTTTGAAATATATTTTTAAAGATGGTAAAGTGTTTTGTAGTACTTTTTTTTGAGACAAAAGTCTCTCCTGAAATGACTGCTGCAACTTGCAACCATCAGTATAGACTATGCTACAGAAAAATGACCTGTGAGCGACTGACATTCTTCCAAAGCTTAAAAATCTAACAAGATCTAACCCAGGCTGGCCTGCAATTTAGGATCTTCCTGGCTCGAGTTTTTGGAAGCTAGATTATAGGGCTGAGCCACCATGCCTCATTTGTTTTTTTTTTTTCTGCTACTAACAGAGTGTCTTCTCCCCTTCCTCAGCACGTGTGTGTGTGTGTGTGTGTGTGTGTGTGTGTGTGTTTCACATTGTACTATACCTTGAAGTAGGTGCATACTGTGGTGGTTGTCCTTGCTTTCAAGTCTTTATGCCTGTCAGTAAATTCCCTGGCTCCCATGCATCTGTAGAGCAGTATTGTAACAGCCTCAGAGCGTTAGCTTTCTTGCTTCGGCCGGGAAGTGGACACTGCGGAAGATGTTAAGCTTTACAAGGACGTCAGTCACTCACAGGTCATTTATCCGCAGCATAGTCTATACTGATGCTTGTGAGGAGTAGTAGTTATTTCATAAGAGGATTTTTCAGTGTTTTAATTTAAACTCATATTTAGGTTATTAATGTACTTATAGTTAATAATCATCTTATTAAAATTAGTTATTTGTGATATTAAATTATAGAACAATCAATGTCTGATAATTTCCCTTTAGTATTCACTTGATGCTATAAAATGACTTTTCCTACTCTAATGTTTCTGGTGGAATTTGGAAAATGTGGCACTTAATGGGAGCAATAAAATCTCCTAGCTAGCTCTTAAGAGAGACTTGTATCTCTTTAGAGGCAGAATCTTGTGCCTGTTTGTTGGAGCTACCTGCCACCAGATGGTGCTTTTTGCTTTCTTCGTAGAATAAAACAGCTTGTTTTCCCACTGCTTACTGTGAGATATATTGGCTATGATATTTAACAGATAAGCATTTGATTGACAAAAAGTAAAATAGGATATCAGAATGGTACAGAACTTCTTGCTAGGTAGACAGCTGTTTAAAGAAGACAGAAGTCATCTCTGGCTCTCTGGGCACCCTCTGAGCTTCGTGGCTTCCCTTAGTTCCTTCCCTCTCTTCCTTAGACCTTAGACTCCAGTAATAAACAGTTCCTTGCAACTAGGTGCCTACACTATTTAAGGTTCTCAATATACAGACCCTCTGGACTTCCACTTCTTAGTACTAAGCATTGCACCTTTCATTGCATGCTTGCTTCAGTGCTTTATTTAAAATGTGTCTAAAATTGCCTCAGCACTATAAAGTCCCAAAAGGAAGAAAGCACCTTAATTAGAGCATTGTTCCCACCCCAGATCATAACTGTCAGATGGGTACTTTCTGTGGCTGCGCCCCCACCCCACTTTTGTTGTCTCTATGACCTTTAGCACTGTGTCCAGCCAACTCACTTCCTGTACTCATCAAGGAATCTGCATTTTACAGCACCTTCATTTTGTTGTTAATTTCTTTTTAGCTTAATCTCAGATCAGTCCCATTGTGTGAGGGGAAACTTTCAGGAATTTTAAATCTTTATGATATACATGAAGTTCTAATAAAAAGTCAAAACTTTTTTTAACAAATAATACAGACATGTTGCAGTTCCTATGGAGGGAGAGTATTTAAAAGTCCATATATTTTAAATTTTTAGCCAGTTTATATTATCCAGGAAACCAGAATACTCTTAGAGTTACAAAGGCTAGCCTGATAGATTTAGTAACCTGTGAGAGAATCATACTTATTGGTTGGCTTTAAGTTAATTGAGGAATAGAAAGTTTTTTACTGTTAACCACTTACACATACTAAAATAGTATGTTTAGTCCTAGGGTACCTAGGGAATCTCTTGTACCTTGGAAATCCTAAATCAAAGAATAGGGCCCTGCTCTTTGGAAAAGGTGTTTTTTTCCTGGCAGACTGTACATTCGGCATGGGTATGTGGAAGCACTTGTCCTTTAAAAAGGAGGTTGAGGCCTTCACCTGGGCAATCACAAACAGCTCAGATATCTTCGGGATTAACTTTATAGTTTGGAGGCAGGTCTGATGAAAGTTTGTATCATCTTTTCAGGTAACTAAAATGTCAGTTGTATGTTTAGAAGTGGCTAAGTTTTACTATAAAAAAGAATCAGTATTAAGATTATTTACTTTTCCTCAAATTAGGTAATAAAATAGACTTGGAAAAAGAGAGACACGTTTCCATTCAAGAAGCAGAATCGTAAGTGTTGTGCACCTACTTCACACTCCTCCCCCCAGAGGAAGTCTTCCTCTTTGTACAGTGTGCCTCACCATTCAGGTGTTACTTAAACCTTTTTTTTTTTTTTGATGGAACCGGGCATTGAACTCAGGCCCTTTCACTTGCCAGGGAATCGCTTATTCCACTGAGCTGTCTCCCCAGCCCCACTTAAACCTTTTTTTAAAAATTATTTATGTATTTGGTAGAGAGTCTTGATACACAGCTCAGACTCATAGTGATCCTGCTGTCTCAGCCTCCAAGTGCTAGGATTACAGTGGCCAGCACAGCGCACCTGGGGTTCTGGGCCCATACAGCATGCAGTACTGGGGATCAAATCTGGGTCCTTGCGCTTGTCAAGCAGATACTTAGACCGCTGAGCTATCTCCCCTGCCTTCAAACCTCTTAAGATGGACTGAGTGAGCTGTGAGGCAGACTTGCCTATGTTGGTAATTTCTAGACTTTGGAAATATTTAAAGATATTTCACTTTTTCTTTTAGATTCAGTGAAAAGTGCAAGAACGATGTAAAAGAAAGGTGTCGTGATCAGTTTGGCACTTAAAATATATGAGATCTAAATTAATGGGTAAAAATTTCAAGTCTTCAGGGACGTAGCTCAGTGGCACAGGTTTCCTCCCTGGCAAGCGCAGGGTCTTGAGTTAGATTCCTGGCATCAAAAAAGAAAACATTTTAAATGTCAAGTCTTGTTTATATTTGTGTTATTTAAAATTTGGCTTAGTGTCTACAGAGGTTGCATAGCTATAAAAATCTTAATTTGACTAAACTTGAATAAATTACTAATTTGCTAAGCTAAGGTGGTAAGTCACTAAAATTGCTACTATAAAAAATTTTAAATATTTTTATATTTAATCGCTGATGTCACTTTTTTTTTAAGGTATGCAGAATCTGTGGGAGCAAAGCACTATCAAACCTCAGCCAAACAGAACAAAGGGATTGAGGAGCTTTTTCTTGACCTTTGTAAAAGTAGGTATAGTTATATTTAGTATGATTAAAAATGGCTTTTTTAAAGTATCGGTAATGTTTCTAAGGTGATATTTTACCATTTTTTGTTAAAGACCACATTGATAATTTTTCACATCTACTGATACTGTTACATATTTCATATTCTGAACTCATTTTTTAAAATCTTACAAGCTTGCTCTAGCCCTGTTTGTTTTTGGTTTTGTTTTTTTTTTTTTTTCTTTTGGTTTTTCTCTTGTATTTAGGACAGGGTCTGCAGGATCTCACTACATAGATTAGACTTGCAGTGATCCCCCTGTTTTCAGCTTCCCAAGTGCTGGGATTACAGATGCACGCTACCACACCCAGTCTCAATCACTGTCTCAGTGTGGCCTGTGAGGCAGGCTGGTGCGGCTTGCTGAGAATCGAACCCTGTCCCCTCTGCTCTGCCTAAGCAGGTGCTTTAGTCTGCTGAGCTATCAGGCCGGCCCTCTAGCCCTGTTCTTGTTTTGTTTTGTTTTTTGGTGGAGTCGGGGATTGAACTCAGGCCCACGCACTTGCCAGGCAAACACTTATTCTACTGAGCCATCTCCCCGGCCCCTCTAGCCCTGTTCTTTTTTTTTTTTTTTTTATAAATTTATTTATTATTTATGTATGCGTGTGTGTGTGTGTGGCCAGCTCAGCCCACCAGAGGGTGGGGCTGGCTGGCATGTGGTGCTGGGGGATTGAACCGTGGTCCCCGTCCTTTGTTAAGCGGTCCCTGTCCTTTGCTAAGCTTGTTCTAAGTAGGTGCTTTAGACCACTGAGCCATCTCACCAGCCCCTCTAGCCCTGTTCTTAATCACTAATTACTGGCTATGAAATCAGAGATGTAGTATAAATCCATAAAAAATAAAAAATTGAAAAGAAAAAATATATGCATAACTATTAAAGTAAAAATGGAAGAATTTACAAATTAAAATACATTTTAAGGGCTGTAAGAGTGGTTTTGTTTTGGTGGAACTGGGGATTGAACTCAGGCCCTTGCACTTGCCAGGGAAGCGCTTATTCCATGGAGCTATCTCCCCAGCCCTGTAAGAGTGTTTTGATGGTGTACCATCTCTGGATCCTGATTTGACAAACTAATGAAATGCACATTTGTGTAACAGTGGAAGTATATGAACACCTATTGGTTATTTGCTGATATTAAGATATATCTGTAAGTTTTTTTAGTTGTTATAGTAGTGTTGTGCTTACTAGAGATACACATTAAAACAACTCATGAATGAAATTATGTGTCTAGGACTTGATTCAAAATACTGGCAGAGATGCTTAGAAGAGTTGAATAAAATTGGGTGCTGGATTTTCACTGTGCTGTTTTTTTCTACTGTAAAGTAGAAGTATGTTTGAAAGTGTCCATATTGAATTTTTTTTAAAAGAGAAAAGTAAGTTTGTTTCTATATAACCTAGAAGTTCTTTCTCATATTAGTAATAGAATACATATCATATTCAGGTATGGAACAGTGGGTTGAAATAACTTTTGGAAAATTTAATGAAGCTGTGGTTTTTGTTTCTTAAAGAAATACACAAACACATAAATGCAAATTTGAGACTAAATTTCACTTTTAGGAAACTTCAGAGTCACTCATTCTGGAGTACTGAGCGCGTATGTAAGGTCTTTGATCAGCACCATCAACACCACTTGTGACTGTGTTGGAAGCGCAGTTTCTTGGCCCTTCCACAGCCCTGCTGAGCCAGTCTCTGGAGATGGTAGCCGGAGTCTGCATTGTAACAGACTGCCCCCACGAATCTGTTGTATACCAGATGTGAGAACCAGCCTGGGCTTGGTGGTACACGCCTGTCATCCCAGCACTTGGGAGGCGGTAGCAGGAGGATTGCTATGAGTTTGAGGCCAGGCTGGGCTGTGTCTTAAAAAAAAAAAAAAAAGAATACCATTGCTATAATATAATCACGTGTGGATCTTGTTAAAATGAATACTTTGATGTGAATTGCTTGGGCCTAATGTTCCCCTTCCTGCAAGTGTCCAAGTGTTGATGGTTGATCTTCAGACCAACTTTGAGCAGATGATCTAGATCAGTGGCTTCCTAATGTGATCAGTCTCATGCCTTTAAAAACTTTTAAGTGTTTCCCGTGTCTATTTAGAAGTTATTACACTGATATTTTTTGTACAGGTTAAGACACACTTAAACATGGAAATTTTGAAAGATTGAGAAAAAATAAGTTGTAATATTTTCTTTTTATTGGATTGTTCCACACATCTTAATTTGGAAGCATTCCTCATATGCAGTGTCTGGACCCAAATTTACAAAGACTTGTTCTGTTCTAAGGGTTTGTTCTTTTTCTTTTCTTATTTTGCCAGATTGGTACTTTCAGATATTTTCTCACAGTCTGTCTGGAGTTTTCGTTTTCTTTAATCATGTCCTTCAAAGAGCAAAAGTTTTTTGGTTTTTTTAAAAATTTTTTGATTAATTTTTTTTATTTGTGTGTGTGTGTGTGTGTGTGTGTGGCCAGCTCAGCCCACCAGGGGGCATGGCTGGCTGGCATGTGGTGCTGGGGGATTGAACCGTGGTCCCTTTGTACTTGCTAAGCTTGTTCTAAGTAGGTGCTTTAGACCACTGAGCCATCTCACCAGCCCCAAAGAGGAAAAGTTTTAAATTATAATGAGGTTCAATTAATAATTCTTTTTACGAATTATGGTTCTTGTCTTACACAAGAAATCCTTGTCCAAGCCAAAGTCACAAAAATTATCCCATATAAATTTTTATCCTGTAGTCTGGAAATTTTGTTTCCAGTTTTATATTTAGGTATATGATTCATTTTTGTCCTTTTCTTTCCTTTTTGCTTATGTAACATGTCTAGATTCTCTTAAGTTTATTGTTTACACACAGATGTCCAGTCTGGGGCCTGTTTCCTGAAAATACTGCCTTTCCTCATTGAAGAACCGTAGCATGTAGTCAGAAGTCAATTTGCCATGTCTATGGGGTCATTTCTGTTCTACTGACTTCTGTGTTTCCTTTTTGCTTATGAAGTTCTTAATTAATGTGGATTTCCGTTATGTATTTAAATTAGTAAGTCCTCTAGCTGTCCTTTGAAGCCCCTTCATCTTAAATTTCTTATTTTTTTCAAATATCTCCTTTAAAACACTACATTCCTAATTAAAGAATACATTCTGTAGCCTAATAGTTGGAATAATTTAAATCTTGACATAGTTCTGACATATTTCATGTGTTTGGAGAGTCTTAAGGGTTATACTTGTACACTCTTAGTTGTTCAAAGCCAAAAAATATTTTTCTCTATTGCTGTCACTTGATCATTACACAGCTAGATACGTATACTTGTTATTTGCTGCTGGTTTTTTAAAACCCATGAGTACAGCTCTTTTATTGAGCTGACAGCGTTCAGCGTTACATGTAGTCTCTTGTTGGTTGAAAGTCAGAAATAACTATCACAGTTGCATTTTGAAGATACAGGAGAAAACTCAAAGATTACCTTTCCAGTAATTTTCCCTTTCTCCCTCTCTTAGGGATGATAGAAACAGCACAAGTGGATGAGCGGGCGAAAGGCAATGGCTCCAGTCAGCCGGGAGCTGCACGACGCGGTGTACAGATTATTGACGATGACCCTCAAGCGCAGAGTGGTGGCGGAGGATGTTGTTCTTCTGGCTAACTGTTCACGCCTAAGAAATTGGAAAATCAAAACTGTGGATCATTGCCCTCAACATGAAGACTGCCATATTTCAAGTCACGTTATTTTACCAATGGAGTTATAGAATTAACAGTATTTTAAATTACATTTATAACACTGCAGAGACCTTAAGTGCTAAACTTAGTGGAGTTTGTGACCAGAGAATTGGCATTTTCTACAAATGTTAACAAAGCAATTACCAATGGCCTTTTTACATATTTTTTTCTTTAACGAGAAATAATATGCATGTAGAAAAGACCTACTTAAAGGCTTCATTTATATTCTTTTAAATCAGATCTTTATTTAATAACTTATATATATGTTGTTGGAATGGTATGCAATTTTGCAGCCCTTTGTATTTTGTGGTAGTTTGAATTATATTACTCCTAAACAGCAAACTGTTTTTGTTTTTAGTTAGCAGATATCTGAAGTACTATTTTTGCAGGGTTTGCACAGACCCCTAACTGTCTACTACTTTGATATAATCTATATTCATCCTGTATGCTGAGCTGGTAAAATACGTTGTAAATAACATATTAAATATTTTATCTGCTTTTACAAGCGCAAGGTGCAAAATATATATACAATAGCCTCATTGATGACTGTAAAGTGAATTAACATTTGTTGATAATGCCTGAGCTTTTTGACTCTTAATATAGAGATCATCACTCCCCCTTCACTTTGTCTTAACTTGAAAGTGGGGTGTTTAAATTTTCACACACTTTACTTGAAATATTGCTGTTGTCACATTTTTTGCCTCCAGAAGTCCATCTGATGATTGAACAGCAGCATTTGCCTTTTGATTTGGGCTTTCTGTTTTCGTTTCTGTTTTAATAAAAAAGAGATGATTTCTGATTTTGCTTTAGAATGGTTACCTTAGAAGAATTTGAGGGGAGCATGCCGAGTTTCACTTCTGCAACAGCTTTTGTTTTCTCCTAGGCCTTATATGTAATGGGTTCCCTGGCATGAGAGGAGAGGACAAGATTCCAGATAACAGCCCCTTGCCAAGACTCATTTCTAGAGCATGTTAGTGGTGATTTATGCCCCGAAGTAGCACTTCCACATCCCTGTGATCAAGGTCGTGCGTTCATTGCTTGTCAGAGATGAACATGAAGTTTTGTTTGTTCTGTAAAAGCTGTCCTTCTGAGTTTTCAGCGGAGGGAAGCATCTCATATAATGCAGATAGAGCAGACACTGGAAAGAGTTACTGTAAAATTATATTCTTGTATACTTTGTAAATTAGTCCTTCATTAGATTTTTTTCTTATAGGACTAAATTTAAATTTGTTAAATTTTGATAGAATTGGGCACTGGTCACGAGAAGAACACAGATTGTGGAAATTAACATGAATTGTCCTTGTTCTAATATATATATATTTTTCCATTTCTGTCATGCTTGGAAAACTAGTAAATGTTATGTCTAAGATACAATGGTATGGTCCCTGGATTTCCTTCTCGTAAGCAGTGGTATGTAATAAAGCTGTTAGCATGCGCAGTTAAAAGATAATGGGGTTTAGTTATTGAAGAAGTACTACCCTATTTATTAACTTTGTAGTTAAAACCTGCCCAGGTGGGTTAACAGTTGAATGACTTGACCCCTTGATGTTATGGTGTTTGAATTTTCGTTTAGTATTGTGTTCTGTGAGCCACACTTTATGTACTTTATTCCCTTGCCAAACTGCACACACTGATCTCTGCTGTGTGTGAAGAAGGTGGGGCGGGAAGAGTCAAGGACAGGAGTATTGTCGTCTTTTATGGGCTGGTTTACTTTGTGTAGCCTGTTGGTTTCCTGTGAAGTTAGTGTCGGTAGGGCTAGCAAGATAGCTCAGTGGACTGAAGTCCCGCATGCTGTGCCTGCCCCTGCCCCGCTCCTGGTGCATGCTGAGCCTGCAACCACCAGGCGTGGAGGCGCACACCTGTAATCCCAGCGTTGGGGAAGCTGAATACAGGAGGATCACTCTGAGTCCCAGCTGCATAGTGAGACCCTGTACCAAATACATAAATGAAAAAAAAAGTTTTGATGGGGGCATGAAAGAGGCAATGAGAACCGCTGAGTCTTGTGGGGGAATTTATTTTTACCCTTAACATCTCTTAGTGGAAATAAAAAAGGCTTTGCTATTACTACTGTTGTAGATGGGAAATAAGTTCTTATTATTGGAGTGAAAGGTGGCTTTTAAACTGGAGAAGAAACTGAGCTTTATTCCAGAAGAACGTTGTAGAGTACCAGAAAACTGTGCTTGAGTTTTACTGTCTTTTAATGTTACGTATTCTCAGTAGAAATGTCAGCTCCAGAGAATCCAGATGATGATTGGTGGCATATGACTGTTCTCTTTATTTTTTTCCCTTATTTTCCCATGGATTTCTGTGTGATTTTTGATAATCTGACAATTTCATGGTCCCTTTTTTGAACATATTGGAAAAATTTAATAGCAACAAAAGGATATGGTAGATCTGTTTTTGCTTTGAAGCTCACAAAGTCTAAGAAGGAACCAGGTGAAAAGATAAAGTACCAGTCAACTGCAGTCTGTGTAAAAGAAAGATAAAGAGATGGTAAGCCAAGGCTGGAGCACTTTTCCTGATACTTTGTTCATCTTTCTAGTATAGCTATTGTGTTCCTGTCCCTAATTGTGCTATTAGGAAGATGGATGGCACAAGTATACAGTATTGTGTAGCAAAAATAATAAGTAGGTAAATAGTTTTTCAGCTAGTAAGTATATACACAACATATATAGATGAAAGCTGGTTTGAAATAATTAAAATTATCAGAAAAGTAGTCTGTTAAAATTGTACAATAATTGTTTCTGTAATGATGAATATCCTTGTTTTACTTTGTGATTACAGGAGAAGAATATTATTTTTAAAAATATATAATAAAACAGTTTGGAGGCAAACAGTAACCTGAAAAGAAAAAAGCATTATATTGTATGAAATCTGAATGCTTGTTTTTGTCTTAGGGTATTTCCTGAGAGTACCCTTATGCCGTGGCTGTTATTGCATTGATTTTCTTTTTTTTTTTTTTTTTTTGTTGGTGGTACCAGGGATCAAACTCAGGACCTTGTGCTTGCCAGGCAAACACTTATTCCACTGAACTATCTCTCCAGCCCCTGAAATTTTTTCTGTTAGCCATATATTACTGGAGTTTATTTTTTTTAACATTAAAGTAAAAAAACCCAGTAATTTTAGGCTTTCCGTAATAGAAGACAAAATTGAAATAGGAAAAAAATGATAGAATGGGAGTCATGTAGACATAAAACTCTACAATGTGATAGTTTCTTTTTAACCTGATGGTTTTTAAAATCACTTTGAAAACTAGATTGCTTTTATAACTTTGTGTCTAAATAAGGCAGGATACTCACTGTGCCAGAGATGTAGAACATTTTAAAAAGACTGATACTTTTAATATATATAATTAGTAATTTTCTGCATTATAAAATAATGCCAAGAAATCTAGATCCTTAGTCTTATATATTATCCCAAATAATACAATTTACCCTTATGATAAACACCAGTAGTAGTTTGATCTGTGCTATTAACCTTCAAAATTTACTTTTTGACTATGTTTGATATTGTGGAGTTTTTAGTTGTTTCTTTTTTTATATATATATAGAAATCCAGTGTGAGAAGGAATGCAGGAATGCATTTGTGACTGGATTTTCAGAATTTCTAGAAAAGGATGTAAGTAGTAGTGATCAGCAAGAGGGTTTTCCTCTTAAAGAGCATTTAAAGAAAGAGACTGAGTAGATGCCCAGGTACTCTTCTAAAGTAAAAATTTATTACCAAGATATTAATAATTAAAAACTGTAATTCATTGGGCTGCATTTGTTTGGTTTTATCATAGGCATCAGTTCCATGTTGTTTATTTTTTTGTTTTTGTTTTTGGTGGAACCGGGGATTGAACTCAGACCCTTGCGCTTGCCAGGGAAGCGCTTATTCCACTGAGCCATCTCCCTGGCCCTATGTTGTTTATTTTTAATCACTTGTAACAGTAATGTGTTTGGTATTGTGAGCCAAAAGTCATGCTGTGCATATTTTGACATTACGCTCGCTCTCTCTCTGCCTTTCTGTTTAAGAAAACAAAAACAATTTTGGCAAAATTTTCCCAAATGTTATAGTGCATACAATGAAAAAATTAGAAATGCCTTTTAAGAGTTTCCAATTCAAAACAAAAATACTTGTCTTCTAAACAAATACTTTAATTTGATAGACCTTTTAGTACTGCCCGTGCTGTCCAAGATTTAAACAGTCTCTTCTGCGAAAAGCTCTGTGCTGCTATTCACTGTCTGTTGCAGCATTTTCTCTTCAGCAGACACGGCAAGTTAATGCGCTGTACACTCAGTGAGGCTCTCACTCTTGGTCTTGTGCACTTTAGAAACTTGCACATACTTCCAAATACATCGCACTGAAGGTGCAGGTTGAGGTGGGGCTGCCTCCTGGATGGCCAAAATTTGCAGTGTCATTTCTCTCTCTTCTCACATTTCTTAGCAGTTGCATCATCTCTTCAACAAGTACTTAAGAAACAATTTCCTTAAATGTGACATGGATAGAGCAAAAGCTAAGGCACTGCAAATGTGAAAGTATGGTAATGTTGAGAAAATATTTGCCAAACTTTTAATAGATAAAAGCTATTTTAAGAAAATAAAAAAAAAATTGGAAAAAAGGCTGGGGAGATGGCTCAGTTGAATAAGTGCTTGCCTGGCAAGTGCAAGGGGCTGAGTTCAATCCCCGGTTCCACAAAAAAGAAGAAAAAAAATATATTTAGTACTTTAAGGTTGGGGAGATAGCTGAGTAGAATAAGCACTTAAGGGCCTGAGTTCAATCCCCAGTTCCGCTAAATATATATATATATATATATATATATATATATATATATATATATATATATATATTATTTTACTAGAAATGTATGTTTTCTTGTTTCGATTTTATTTTTATTTATTTTTCTTTTGGTGGTACAGGGGATTGAACTCAGGCCTTGTGCTTGCCAGGCAAGGGCTTATTCTACTGAGCTATCTCCCCAACCCTCTTGTTTTTAATTCTACAAATCAGGATTCATTCTAGGAAAAGGATGTTAAAAGTGCCTCTCTGTGTGCTCCCCAAAATGATAACCACTGTTCTGTGGCTAACTCCTCAGCTGCCTTTGAGCTGTGCCTTAGTATCATGTATTTACCTGCAGAAGTACATAGTCTTTAAGTTTTTAAATTTATTTTGTCTTACTATGCATATGTTTGCAACTTGCTGCTGCTTCTCTTAGCAGCACGTCCAGGAAGAACTTTAATACCTACCCTTCCCATTTTATTTTCTCCAGTGTCTCTGCTATGTTTTGCCTCTTGGCCTTTCCTTTCTCCTCTTTTCTCTGTTTTGCATATCTGACTCTCCATGGAATGTCCCCAAGAGGAATTTGTTCAGCTATATGTGTGTCTCGTTAGTATCATAGAATTTAAACAGAACTCAATACTTCGAATTGAGGTCTCCCTTAGTGATGTAAATCTGGAAACTGGAAAAGTACCAGCTTAAGATTCATGTGGAGTTTATCACTTTGGGCCTTTGGTTTCCGAGCAGATTCTTTAGAGCACACTTTTATTTAAGGGAAAGAAGGAAAAGAGCAAAAGCACTTGTTGAGAGAGTACAGGGTAAACTGCATGGAGTCTGTATAAAACTGTAGTTGTACAAAGCAGGACTTGGTGCTGCTGTCATTTCAGCCTTGATAGAGCCATCCTTTCAAAATGCAAACAAGAACTCCTTTTGAGATTTGTCTACCGTGTCATCCCCCTTTAGAGATAACCATTGTCAGTGATACCTCAATTTTATGTATGTAGTATAGGGTCTCACTACACAGATTGGACTCGTAGGGATCCTCCTGTTCTCAGCCATGCAATGCACTGGGAGTACAGGCTTGTGCCACCGTGCCCAGTCTTGGTCTCCTCTCAGCTCACCCTTGGGTGGGCCGGCATGCCATGGATTGAACCCTGGCCCCTGTGCTTTGCCTACGCAGACACTTTAGTCCACTGAGCTATCTGGTCAGCCCTTGAGTCTTTGAGCCCAGATTTCTTTAAAAAAGTTAAATCAAGTGGCAACAACTCTAGATAAAGTTTTCACATTTGATTGGAATGTTTTATGTTTACAAAAAATTAAGTTTAAATAATGACTCACATTCTGGAAAGATCAAATGAGACTCCTTTCTGTTTCCAGTGGAAATCGGGAAAGCAGTGTGCCAGTGCAAGCTCTTAATACGTGTGTAACTTGAGGAGCCTTTTTCTTTTCTATTTGGAGAGTATTACAGTATGCAATAGCTTTTGAGAGTACATCACTGTTCATGAGTGTTCAGGACAAAAGGTTAAATTCTGTGCTGCACAGTAAACACATTCTTTCATATTTGACTTTTAATTTAAGTTCTTTTTTGAGTTGGTTTTTTGTGGTTTTTTTTTTTTGTTTGTTTTGTTTTGATACAGGGTCTTACTATGGAATTCAGGCTGGCCTCAGACTCACTATGTAGCTCAGTC